AAGTGAATGTCATATTTAAATGCATAGTGCATGATTTTCTTCATGTTACCCGCCCAAAGGTTCTAGATTGAAAAGGAAGTAAAAATTTCTTCTTTGCAGTGTAAAGTATAATCAAAGTTTACAAGGCTCAACTCATCATTAATGTAAAATATCGTAGTAAAAGCATTAAAGTTCTTAGCAGTGGCACATTATAATAACTGTAACTACTCATATTATGTTTTTGTTCATGTTCTAAATGATCTTGTTCAGAGGATGGCCAAACTTTCTTTAATTAATTAGTAAAAGTAACATTGTTTTTTATCATACAGAATGATACTTAAAGATCCATTTATGCAGTGAATATACTCCAAGGCTAATCAAGTATTTTGAAGGGGTTAAGGTACTTGCAGCTTGCTACTTCGCCTGTTGGTGAGCACGGTGATTACTGGACTTTTCTGTACCAGACATTTTGTTTGCTGATTGTTTTTATGTGTAGGTCAAGAGGGTTGGTGCAGGAATGTTACATTCAGCTTGCATCACTGGTAAATAACTTAAGATGTTATTTGTCTTCTCTTCATATTCATATCAGTAATGTCTTATAGTCATTTCTCTTTTTGTTATTGTTGTTGCTGGCATCCATCCAGAACAAGGCACTCTTTATGTATTTGGGGAAAGAACAAGTGCTAAACTGGTATATATGCCCATTCATATTCTTGAAGGGTTTTCTCTGAAAATTTTCTTTATCAATATGATTGTTTTTATTTATCCAAATCCTTGGGGGAAGTTAGGGCTTTGGAGGATCAAAAAGTATCTCAACACCATCAGCTGTCCAAGACCTTCCATGCTCGGAAGAAGTTGCTTGCGGTGGTTATCACACTTGCGTTCTGACAAGTACAATCCTCAACCACATAATTTTCTTTTCTGATGTCGTCTATATTTCTGATGTATGAATCATGTGGATGTTAAATTCAATCGGCAAGAGATAGATGGTAACTGAACAACAATCATTATTATGTCAAGAGGAATTCACATATTCACTGCATGCTCACGAGGAGACACTTTGACCATCTTGCAGATAAATGTAAAATACAGTCTTCTGTACACAACTCTTTGTGAAGATTGTTCTATAATTTTCATGGACATATGATGCATGTCTTTTTGTAAACTGCATAGTTGATGGAAACCTCAGTTCTGCTACATCTAGGATGCTGGCTTGAAGTACATGAATTAATAAATTATTGATCATGTAAGAAGTAAATAAATGCGTTGGTTCAATTAAATCCAGTTATTATCTAGTGTTCTTGAAAGGTACAACAATATATATGAGTGTAATATTTCATAGAGCTTATAATGGCATAGTTTCATGTATTCTGGTTGTACATGCTGTCTTTATATTTACAAGAGAAACTTAAGTTTTAATTAATTTTTTGAACTTCATGCTTCTGATATAATTCACTTTATGCTTGTCGTTCCTTTTATCATCTTTAAAACAATTTATACAGACTGAGAGTTTATATATGATTACTTTCAACAGGTGAAGGAAGCTTATGCACATGGGGTTCAAATGAGAACGGTTGTCTTGGTCTTGGGTATCTCCATTTTTTTTAATTTTATTTATGCAATCGTCTTGGAGTTGTTCTTTCAATATATTGTTGTCTCCTTTGTCATCATGCTCATGGACGTCCTTTCCCCCCATGTCAGTGGCACAGATATGGTCCGATCTCCAGAATGTGTTGAGAGTTCTTTATTTAAATCTCCTATATCTGAGGTTTGAATTACTTTCATCTATTATAGTTTATCCGAATATATGTATGTTTCAGTGTTGAATTGTTTTTTTGAAGGTGTTATCGTTATTCACTTTTCAGACTGATCATTCTGCAGGTATCTTGTGGTTGGAAGCATACAGCTGCAATTTCTGGTAAAATCTTGTTCTTCAGCAACTTCAACAAGTTTCTTTCCTTCTATTCCCTCGTGAATATGATTAATGTGGGTTCATGTCATGAATTATCTTAGGATTTCGATTGGGTTGAATTCTAGACCATGAAATCCTGTTTGATTTGCCTTGCAATTAGTCATCTAAACTTTAATACGTATAGCATTTCATATCTAGCTCCTACAAAACCTTTGAGGCACTGTTTGGGAATGGATTGAGGGGTTAAGGTTTCCTCTCCTTAATATGCCAGATGTGAAAATTATGCACATGGGTGTAGGGGAGTAACCTATCGGCTATCAAGAGCCCTCCATTAGATCCTATATCGAGGATAGCTCATCAAACTAATTCACTAGAATATAGCTCACTTAGAGCTTTCAGTATCTCACTGTTATATCTGGATTGAGCTTGGCACTGTTGAATGATGTTTGATTAATTTCCATCCCTATCTAGTACCAAGATCATTTGGTTATTTTGATAGAAGTAAATTGGATAACAGTAGAACTGCCCACCAGAAATCTATCCAGTCCAGGATTTTGTGCTTTCAACAAGGAATCTTTGTGTCCTTCGCATATAATCTAATGCATCAACACAAAGTTCAGGGACCTGAAATTAAAATAGGGAGCACAAACCTTGCTATAGTTTTATAAGTTACATCCTAATCTATCATATTTTTACTGCTGTTCTGTATTTTGTTTATCATGTTTCTGTTGCAGTGATTCAGTCGCTATATATTTTCAATATGTGCTAGTAAGATGCATTAACCTTTATTGCCCAAATTTTGCTTCCAAAGTAATGATTTATCTTCTTTCCCCTATTTGAAATGATCACCCTGCGATATTCACACCCAGGTGGTAAAGTCTATACATGGGGCTGGGGCGGTGCTAATGGCACATTTTCTGTAGATGGCCATTCTTCTGGAGGGCAGCTGGTTAGTTTCAACCTGTCAGTTTTTTCTTTTTGAGATAGATGTAGAAATGTTTACATGACATATGAATACAATCATACTGTTTAAAAGTGCTTGTGCTAAGGCTCCTATTTTCACCAAAAAAGATTTTTTTTTTTTTTGTGTGTGTGGGGTGGGTGACTCCATTCCTATCTTATGCAAACATAATCCATTTATGCCCTCCTTGCTCTTTGGTCAAGGGAATTTCAATATAGCGACCACAAGTAAATGTAGGAATTGTAGAATTATTGCGCCTACTATCTTGTTGATTTTTTTTCACAAGCGTCATGATATCATGTTTACCCCAAACACAAGCTATTCTTTAGCGATGCTCCTAAGCAGAAAATCATTTACGTTTACAGCTCTTCACTATCTTGCAAGCACCCCTAAGTTTTAAGGCATTTGCTTAGAAATGACATATCCGTATAGTTAATTTGGCACACAATTCTTATTGTTAGGAATATAACCTGATAATTTGTTGGGTTAACTTGATCATGTCTAGAAAACATGGTCAAATCATAGGAGGGTATGCGTCCTCTAAGAACAAATAAAATTGTGGAATATTCTATTCAATCATTTTTGTAGGATAAAATGACATATGGTAAGAGTTGTTTGCATAATCAAAAGCTTGTTATGATTATTATGGGGAACTTCTCTACTTTTATTATGATGAAAAAAGAATATGACAAGATAATTAGTTTCAAGGATTTAAGTCCCTTTAGCACAATATTATATGTCTCATTATTTTCGTAGAGATAAGTACGTTCCCACATGGAAAATTGTTTGAAGTTTCTTGGTGTTGTAGCCATTATTTACCAAGCCATTCGAATATTCATGGTTTTACCAGAGAGACTACCTATATAATTTCCGTAAAATCATGTTTGAGGCAAAAACTTCAGGATAAGGCAAGTATTTTAGACCAAGCCATCTCAAGTTTTCGTCCAACAGTATTAAGTGCAGATCACCAGAGGAGAGGAAATAGTTTGATATGCATCTGGTTTAGGAGTTTGAACTATATATTGGCATTTTGTAACCATGGGTCTGTGGGAATCTTTGGAAGGTTTTAGTTATCAAGATTTTTTTCTTCTTGAATCCACGTATTTTCCATTACCGTGCTATACATCATTTTCCTCTTGTAAGCAAATTCTTAATATCACGTGTCTCCCTACGATTTGTTAGTTCTAATCTCCATGCATTTCTTTTATTTTAACTTCTCTTTTCTTATTTGCAGGGACATGGAAATGATGTTGACTATTTTCAACCAATGGTAGTTAACATTAATAGAAATGTGAAAGCAGTACATATATCATGCGGGTTCAATCATACTGCTGGCATATTTGAGTATACAGAAGCTTGAAGAATTACTGCATATAGTAAATACTGATGTATATTTGTTTACCCGTTCTTTATTTTCTCAAATTTTCATGTAATCGATTGTGTCATTATTGTATATCCCATCAGAGCTATACAAAAAAACGTAAAAAAGAAGAAGGACCGGCCTCTTGTAGCAGTGAACATTACGAGCTATGTAATTTATGTACTAGAATGATAATAAGGAATAAACGATGTTTGATGTTATGTAACTAGTCACAATAATAGAAATAAATCTCAGGTGCGTTATGAATTCGGTTAGTGGTTTGTGTGAGCATTGTGTTATGTAACTACTCGAAACTTCTTGTTTGTTTTTTCCCCTCCACAATTGTCCGTAAATATCAGCCCGGAATTGAAAAGATCATACGAGCCTTATCGGAACCTTTCAACCGTCTAGATCACCTGCGGTGGATTTATCTATAAATGTCTTTGGATGCAGGATTTAAGCATTGCATTTCTAGCACTATGGTAGCCTCTACTGCTAAAGTAGCATCACTTGTGGCTATAATTTAAAAGGTCTGTCATTGAAAAATCATGTATTTTAAGTGCAATATAGTAAGCACATACTCATTTAGTTATTTTTTTCGTATATCATTTAAGACGTGTATCCAAGTTGAGAAAATTGATGACATGTCATGTAGTATGAAGGTGAATATAACTAAGATAGTTATACACTGTGAGTATGAAATCTGGTCCCACACACATATAATTAATTAAGGAAGCTTCATTTTTCAACTTCAATCCTAGGTTTTTTTTTCCTCTGCACCGTTTTTGGAGTCAAATACAAACCTGTAATAAAAAATAAAAAATAAAAAAAAGGAAAAGAAAAGAAAAGAAAAAGGCCTAAAGTGCATATGTACATTATATGTACAGAGATCCTAAAGTGCATAATAAATTCATCCAAGTATTGAGGCATCATTCGTCTAACTACTTCCAATGTTGTAGAGTTATATGTACACAGATCCTAATTAAAGTGCATAAATTTGTGTTGATACACAACACACAAATGAATAGTACTACTGATGCTTGATTACAAGAGCAAAACCATAGCAAGAGTGCAAAGAGATCGAGATGCTTGATGATGATGATGATGATGATGATGATGATTGCTTCTTCGGCAACGACCCTCTCTCGATGAGCCATCGGATACGGGTGAAGTCATCAACGGAGCAAGGGAGCCTGAGGGGGCCTGATGAAGAGTAGCCATGCATAGATTTCTACCGATAAAACAAGTAGTCTTTCGAAGAGAGGGTGATGAAGGTAGGAGATGGGGATAATGAATCTCACTTCTTCTTCCTCCTCCTCCTCGAGCCCGACCCGAACCGTTAACGTTCCTTTCTTCACCTTTCTAATTGTTATCAGCCATTTCTGAGAATTTCATTTTGGTCATGGAGAGGTGAAAAGAGGAGGGAGAGTATTTATAGGAGAAGGGAAGAGGATAGATTTATAGTAGTAGTGCAAGTATGAAAGAAGCTAGGAAGCAAATCTTTTGGGTGTTTGCTTTTCAAAATGAGAATTTCTAATAGTAGTATTTTAAAGAAAAATTTACTATTGGTAAAAAAAGGGATGAAAAATAAGAAGGATACAATTACCCTTTCCTCATCTTCATTTAATTTCTTTTATTTCCTATTCTATCTTTCCAAGCAGTTGCTCTCCATCTTGCATAAAAACAGGCAAACACATCACATCTGAAATAAGTTTAATTTGTTTTTATAGGCTAGAACAACAAAGGGAGAAGAATATATGATGTTTTTTTTCCAGAATAACTCAGTGAAAACATTGAAATAGATTATATAACTTAATTATGTAATCAGTTTTGTTTGTTTTGAATTTCATTAAAAATAAAATTGTAATTTATGTTTTATCATCTAAGATAAAATACATATATTTATCTCAAACTGTTTCTTATTTTCTGTTTAAAGTACTAACTTATAATAGAAAACAACATAGGCAAAGGAACGAAGAAACATTTACCAAAATTTATCATATAACACTTTTTGAGGAAAGGGGAAAAAATCTACAAATATTATCATACAGAAGCTTGAAAGTAAATAAAACAAAATTAGGACGAAAGATCTATAGATATATAGAATATTACCCATCATTTGTGATGTTGAGGATATGTTTAGTTCTTTTATGTAATTCACGTGAAAGTTACCGTAGCTAGAAAACCGGTTTGAAAACAGGCCCTGACAGGTAGCTAAAGTGACTTCCGCCCAAAAGGCTTAAATTGACCAGAGGCTGCCAAGTGGACTTTTTTACCGTCACATTAGACTCTATTTGCATAACCAAACAACATAAACGCATGAAAGTTACTTTAACCTGATGGCTACAGTAACTTCCAAGCAAAAACAACCAACCAAACATGCCCTGACATTCAGTAGGACATTGGCCCATATATACACCGCACATAAAGGAAATATTTAAGGGATAATATTTTTGATGAATCAAGAGCAAAATAGCCCACAGATCAACATATTGCTCCTCAAAGTTCTTTGTTTCCTCATTCGTCCAATGACAAGTAACAATCAGACCACAAACCATCCAGTAGTAACAGTGAGTAGAGCATATGTAACATTTTATAAAGATAAGAGTTATATGCTATGCACACTGTACATATATATACGTACAAAACCTTAGCAAGAGTGCAAAGAGAAAGAAGGCAGATGATGAAGATGATGAACTTTGTGATGATCGCTTCGATTTTGCTTCGACGTTGACTCTCTCTCGACGAGCCATCGAATATGGATGAAGTCATCAACGGAGCAAGGGAGCCTCAAAGGGCCCGATGAGGAGTAGCCATAGACTTCCCTTGACGAGTCAAGTAGTTTTTTGAAGAGGGGTGATGAAGGTAGGAGATGGGATAACAAACTTCTCTTCTTCTTCTTCCTTGAGCCGACCCGAACCGTTAGCATTCCTTTCTTCACCTTGGCTTTCTTGTCATAGGCCATTTCTCCGAATTTTAGGATTGTTGGCAAGGAGGCGGAAGAGTAAGAATACTATATAGGCCAGGAATGGGCGGGGTGGTTGGGGCGGGGTGGGGGGGGGGGTAGTGGAAGTAAGGAAGAAGGTAAGCAATCCTCTTGGTTACTGCTTTTTAGAATGTGCTCCCTCTCAAGTCTCAAATATGTCATCTAGGATAGTAACCGCCCACAAGTTGTACGATTATTAGTAAATATACATTTTAATCAATACTTGCTTAAAAAAAAAAAAAACTAAATGTGTGTTTGTCAACCCTTCAAAACTTGGTCATGATTAGTCTATGCTCCGTTTTAATCCTAAACCGGTTTTAGTTTAGACCCAGCGAAGAGTGATCCAAACTAGAACCGGCTTATTGATCAAAATCTGGTCTGTAAAAACCGGGTTAATTTTGACATGTTTTTTTGTCAAATAGAAAGCAATTAAAACTTGGCCAGATTCAGTCTGACCTAATTTTACAGGGTTACCAAACACACCCTAAATAATTAATAAATATATCCTTTAAAGGACATTTTATGATACTTGGTGTGTACCAAATTACGGAATCTAGAATGTAAGATATCACTGAAAATTGTCTCCTTACTTTTTTTGGTACTTATATCAAGGGGGGAAATTGGGGCCCATTTGAGTTGGCAAGATAACATCAAGATACACCAAATTATACAGTGATGATAGGCTAGCTTTGATCTATATAGCCGACCCAACCCGATCCACTAAGGATCAATCATTAACCGACCCGTACGGTACCACTTGATTCGACCTGGTTTGTCGGATCTGAACCCAAAAAACTTGTATCTTTGTGGAGATCATGATGTTTTTGTGTTCTAGAAGACTAGAGAACTTCACCAAATATTTTGCAAACTCCATGTAAGTGATAGGGTAAATATCAGAACCACCACCCCCCACCCCACCCCACCCCAAAAAAAACTTTGAGTGATTTTCGTTTTGAGCTTAATGCGTAAACTGTAATAGTTAACATATTATCTATAATAGTTAACATGAGCTGGCATGAGAAAGAGAAAGGGTAAAATTAGGATTTTAGGTGGACCTGCGTCAAATCATGAGCTACCATGAGCTGGAGGGTGCCTGAGCATAATTTTTTCAAAAAAAGGCTGCAGCACATTGGTGAAAGTAACCTCAAAAAAATAATAATAAAAAACTTTGAATGATTGTCGGAAAACCCTTAATTAGCTTTCAAAATATTAGAAAAAACCTCTTAAGTATAGATGGGAGTACAAAACCTCAATTAACTTTTACATTTTATTAGCAAACTCCATTTTAACTTTAGATTTTATCAGAAACACCCCCTTAATTTAGAGGGGATTTCCTAATAAAATCTCAAAGTTAAAAGAGGTTTTCTGATAACCTTAAAATTAAGGGGGAATCTCTGATACTTTGACAGTTAAGGGGTTTTCTAATAATCATTCAAAGTTAAGAGGGATTTTTAGTTTTATGATATTTAGCCTAAGTGAGATTGTTAGGTCCATTTTTTTCTAACTAGGAGTTAATTGTGCGGGGTGTTCCTAATAGTAGAAATGTTATGTATGGGGGCAGCTTCGGTATTTCACTACGCCCTACATGGTTCAGACCACCATCCGAATTTAGAGATTAATTTTGAACCACTAAAGATTTAAGGGGCTAGTCTAGGAAAGAAAAAAAATCCCATGAATTAAGGTGTAGATCGCTAAATGAAAAGGATAAAAAATAAATAAATAAATTCATTCAAGACAAATGAAATTAGAAAAGAAGCATCTATTTACTTTAAAGGTAAAAATGCTTCCAGCCCCCAAAACCAAAGAAAACTTGCTTCCCTCCCAATACTTGGTCAACGGGTGCTTTGCCCCAAAAAATAAAAATTTTGTTCTCTGAGCCCCAAAAACACAAAACTCAAGAGATTAAAACATGTGAAGACCATAATATCATTCTCTCTCTCTATGATGATATTACTGATAGTTGAAATGATTGATGAGCATTGTTATTTTATTATTTTTCCCTTCTTATTATTTTCGTTGTTGATCAGATGAACTAACTGTTTTGTTTGTATTGGAAGATTGTTAAGGTTACGTGTTTAATTGTTAATGTTACGAGTTTAATTGTTAATGTTACGGGTCAATTATTAAGGTTATGGATCTCTCTCTCTCTCTCTATCATGATGTTACTGATAGTTGAAATGATTGATGAGAATTATTATTTTATTATTTTTATTTTTTATTATTTTCATTGTTGATGGGGAAACTAATTATTTTTGTTTGTATTGGGATATTGTTAAGGTTACGGGTTTA